TGAACTATGTATTTTGGGTGCTGAAATTGTTTGTTTGCTGGAAGAACTTAGTAAGTTCACAAGGATTAGGTTCCCAGAACACAGAATTACTAGTAAGAAATTTTTTTGACCCTTTGGTAAGTAGCCCAGACAAATGAAGACAAAGTACAAAAGAAAATTCTAGAGCAATGTCACATGGTCTGGACCTGATGCTGACTGTGAGGACAAAGTCCCACATCCGTGAGGGACCAAACCATGCAAGGGCTTATAAGAGGTTAGGCTACCCCATATTGCCAATTAGTTTTAAGTGGAACTTCAATGACCTCCTGTAATACTGATGCAGCCATATGACAAAGTTTTAGAGAAGGCTTACTTCAGTGAGTGTGGGTCTTGACTCTTGATGATAAGTAAAATTTGCATAATTCCACATGTATAGATTACTGATATGAGATAGTAATCTCACCCCTCTTGGTAATTATACATCTACATGGTCTAGTAAGTTGTTATAGTGCTTAAAGATATGGAGGAGTACTCTGTGTAGACCTTATGTCACTTTCTCAGGAACTCTCCAGTTGATGACCTACACACGTATTTGTTTGCTGTTTTTTATACTAAACAGTGATTTATCTCTTAGTGCATGTTTTAGCTAAATCAACTGGCACTTGGGAGACTTCATAAAGCTCACCGACCAAAACAGTTCCATTTCTAACAATATGAAAGATAAGTCGTCAAACTTTTACAATATATTGAACACTGAAATTGTTAACTGTTATCAAAAAGAATGATTCAACAAAAGTAGAAGATATACTGAAAATAATAAACCATACAATGCCGTGATGTCATACTTACAACAAAGTATGACGACTGCTGAGAATCAATTGCCTCTATGTAAGGAGCCATTTCCCATCCTGAAGCACAGAGTGAATTAATGAGAAATAAAAAAGTAGGGGGTCAACCATATGTAAGAAAATTATTGTCCTCCAAGAATACAACTATAAATCGGGAACATGAAATTTAAATTTTGTTACTCCACTGCATGTACGTTGTATGGATACGGCCAATATACTAAATCGATAACTTTACCAGGTAACCAAGGTATTTCTAGCAAAAGAACCCTCAAGAATATGGGCCTGAATAAGTTTACAACCTCATTCATGTTCCTAAAATCAAGGTCACGTTCTCAAGAAGATGTTTCTGATTCGTATACACCAAAAAATTTAGCACTTGCATACGAATAAATGCTTGTGTTTCTACCAAAGCTAAAATAACAAAATGCCCATCCCGGAACTTTAAGACAGGAACACGGGAGAAGTAGTCAGCTCTGCTATTCACAAGCGCAGGCACACACTTTTAAGAGTACATATATGTATATATAAAGGAAACTTACTTTGCATGTCATCATGCCGTGTGCTCTTTTCAATTAGAAGGCACTTAGCCAGGATCACTGCCTGATGGATTGCACTCAAAGCGGCAGCAGCAGTACCATCAACTTGAATGCCTTCTGGTTTAGTTCCAGAATTGTCATCATTCACTAACAATTTTGGGGTCATCAATATGTCAGAGGCCTCATGGTTTTCAGATGGATTTATATTCTTTCTGCCAATACTAGAATCGCATGTCTTGGAGCCAGGGCTTTCTGAGGGGCAGCTACCACCACTGCTCGATGAAGTTGGGTTTGCTAAAAGTATCATTTGTGCCTTTGGTTCTACCTTTAGGGAAAAATGACATGCAAAGCTAAGAAGCAACTTTGATATTAAAAAAACAGAAATAACAAAATTCCTGTTAAATGCATTCAGCATTTACCTGATGTACAGTACGGAAGCCAAGTACACCTGTAAGAGAAAGCTGAAGACCAGCTGCTGCTTCAGCTGATTCAAAATGTACCCTGCACCACAAAGGAAGCTCAGCTATCTAAATTAAGACAATATTGATAACTAAAATAAAATAAAAGAATAGCCTAATCACCATACAAATAAAGATACGGATTGGTTTAAAAACAATGATAAAGGGAAAAGAAAATTTTAAAAAGTGAAAATGTGGAGATTGTACTTCTTGCGAGACACCCAAATTAACTTCTCGTTGACTGAAAATGAAGCTTGTACTTCTTGTGAGACACCCAAATTAACTTCTCATTAACTGAAAATGAAACGTTATGCAGTTGCAAACAAAATCACACCACCCCTCACCCAGCGCACACACACCAGCACACAACAATACACCCATTATGAGGAGATAAAAAACGATTTTATGCTGCAAAACAAAAGTACTTGGAATGCTCAACTTATCTAATAATTATATAGACTATGCTTAATAAATTTGAGTTTTGAAAACCCTCTTTCCATACCACAAAGAAAGGAACTGCACAAACTTTAATTTCTATAAATGTTTTTAAGATTACCTCCAATATGCTAACTGACTGGTTAACAATTTGCTTTATTTACACATGTAAAATTATCTAAAATATTAATCAACCATTCAAAAATCTACTTACGCTGTAACACACACATAGAAACCCATTCATATATGCTGAAAATGAATAATACAATGGATTTTAGTAATTTTAGTGCATAAGTTAAATCTTAAACATATTATTCAACAATTAAAATGTGGGGAAATTTGTAGGTCTATAGACTGATGAAAATAACATGCCTCAATAAAATTTGAAACTCTTGCCTATTTTGGCAATCCTAGAAAAAATAAATCAAGTACTTGTATTTTATTGGAGGAGTTAACAAGAAATATCAGTTCAACTTTATTTGATCACGAGTGAGAGCCTTCACAATTACACAATAACTCGATGGTAAATGAAATGGTTTCTTTAGAATGTTGTTATTAAGATGTTTAGTAATAACAAAATAACCAAATTCCCAAAAAGATAAAACTATCCTTGACAAATCACCTGCATGAATCAACTCGTGCATAGGTGTATTCCATCATTCCAGCTTCCAGATGAATTGTTGAGACAAGTGACGAACCCTCGCCATTTAGTAAATTGTTACCCCAGTAGCTTGTTACTTTCTCCAGTGTACCATAATGATTCAAAGTTTCATTTGTAAAGACTTGCAAAAGATTGAACAGAGAAGAAGAACGGTCATCAAGAATTCTTTGATGGAGAAGGGTGATCCTAATGAGCCACCATGAAATGCTCCTAATTCCATACGTAGAAGGCACACTCGCTTCAAATAGCAAATCTTTCACCTTCATGGCCAACATCTTCGCATACACTATATACTACAAAACAACAACAAACCATTGCACATATCAAATATGGTTGTATACGAGTCTACAAGACAACTAAAACCAACTATCATTCAAGTTTTGTACAGAGTCAAAGACTAGAAATACCAAAGAAAAATTAAACTTGAGAAGAGACACAACACGGGCACACGGACACGCACATTTAGCCGGAATTTGAATACGTAGTTGCTTCTAAATGTAAGTTAAAACCCAGTTCAGAATTCGTGTGAACTTTCAAAGAAATTATTGCACATGGTAAGTAGTTAAACTAATTAAGAAACGCGAAATTATGGCTCTGTCTTAAGGAAATACTCCAAGCATATAAATAAATTCACAATTTTAAACTTGCAAAAATATAAAAGTTGGTACCTGAATATTGATTAACTTTCCAAGCAAGTCAGACCCAGCAGCCATAAGCTGATTGCGCGCCCAATTGTCCCACTCATCGCATTTGGGCACCGCCAGCGGCAGAGGACACTTCGGCAACCCCTCCAACGGTCTAAATTTCCAATTTTCCAAAAAATTGAATTAACCCACAAAGAAAAATCATTTAATCAACAAACAAAATATTAAAAAAAAAAAAAATTGGGGACTTACCCAGTGACGTTGCATTGAGTGAAAGCGAAAAAGGCTGCCACAGCAATGCACAGAACGACTATGACTCTATAGGCCTTGTCCTTGCCGCCATCGTTTTCTTCCTCTTCACATTCCCTGGATACAAAGGATTCCACTCGATCGAGCAACCCGGAGTACACTCGGTCGGCCGACTCCGCTGAGTCTCCCAGCGATTGTATCGAGTCAGACTCGGCGAATTTGAAAACGACGCGTTCTAGGTCGGGGGAGGTGAGGGCTTGGAGGTATTGCCCGGACTCGATGGAAGTTAGGAGGTCGTTGATTAGAGGGTGGAGGGGGTGAGCGGGAAGTGTTTCATCGCGCCGTTGAGAACGGTGTGAGAAATCGGACGGCGGAGATGGGAGGGTGCAGCGGAGGAGACGAAGCTCGTACAAGCGGAGGATGGCGAGTTCCGGCAACGTTTCGGACATGTTGCTGTGAGGTGTGGAGCGAAATGTTTCGGAAGTCAGTGAGAGAAGGGAGGTTAGGGTTTTAGAGTGGATCAGAGCGCGGGGTTTTGGGTTTTAGAGTGGACTTGTGATTGAATGCGGTACGGTCTGTTGGAAAATATAAAAATAAGTATTTTAGGGATTTGATTTAATTAGTGATTTTACTTTGATTTGGTTTAGATTTCTGTTTAGTGGCAAATTATGGTTTTATAAATACCTTCTAATAAAGTGTTTGTTGTAGTCTTAATTTAGTTAGTATGTGATTCTGAGAATTTTAATAAATTATGATCGAATTATGGCTTTATAAATACCTTCTAATAAAGTGTTTGTTGTAATCTTAATTTAGTTAGGATGTGATTATGAGAATCCTAATAAATTATGATCGAATTCGACACAATATTTGTGAATTGTGAGATTGTAGAGAATTATAAATTTACCAACTCAACCAACCCTTGCTAGCTAGGGAGAATTAAGTTATTGCAGGAGAAATAAGAAAAAAGAGTGGAGATAAAAACGTGGGAAATTTTTAACCTTTGTAATTTACTATTTTGCCTAGATAAAATTGGGAGTTGAATTTTACACTACTCTCCCACATCTATCTTAATTTTTGACCATCGAATTGCACACAAAACCTGCATCCATCACCCTTTTCACTCTTCGTCCCTCCTTTCCAATACAAATTTTCACCATCTCTAACCCAGAAAAAAAAAAACAAAAAAATAATGGTTATCAAACAGACTCGAACAATTGTCATTTCCACTCAAAATGCAGTCAAATTGTCAAAATTATGAATCGAAAACACTTGGGGCATAACATCTGTTTGTTTACATGATAGAAAGAACTTTGAGATGAGATATACCAAATATGTTAACAGAAAAGCGAACGAGTGAGTGCAGACAAAATTAAGACAACCACCATTTACAGCTGATTTCACCTCTCTCGTCTATCTCTTTAATTTAAAGGAATAAGTTGGAAATGCAGCAAAAATAGTCGCCCTGAAGGAAATCGGGAAGACGTTAACAGGCTGTTTAGTCCCATGCTATGTTTCGCCGGACCGATATAAAAGGCGATTTGGTTGAACCATAGTACCACATACGAAGGACCAGTTACACAAAATTGTCAACGAAAAGCGCCAAATATTATCAATCCCCCATATACTTCTGTTTCTTGGCCGTGTTCATATATGGTCTGATGACCCATTCATTCTGGGCTTCATCCTGATCCATTGTTCCTAACCTTATCTGCAACATCAAAGCGAAAAAACGAGTGTAAACACGAACAGGTAATGCTATGAAACATTAAACAGTATACTGGGAATAAACATAGCACGAACATGACCAATAAATCTAAGTGATTTGATTAGCACCAGCACGACTTAGTAAGGAGGTATTGGGTTCGATAGGTAAACAACACTTATCAGTATGCTTGGTGTGTGTATGTGATGTTGCTTTCTTTGTATTAAACAGAAAAGAAATTTAAAGTAAAAAATCTCAGCGGAAAGCAGGAACATTTTGAGCAAACTAGGTAAAGCAGAAAAATTCTAACTAAGGTCCAGACGACACAACCAACACCAATATGTGAATGCAAAATGAAACACAAGCCATATCCTTGCAAGAAGCACAAATTTCTCAACAACGAAGATATGGTAATGAGTACTAACCTTAAAAAGCCTCAATTCAAACCGAGGACCGATCTCCTTCAGCTCAATAGATTTAGGACCTCCAGGCTTCTCATAAGTATGGTGCCTGTAAGTTCTCAAATCGTTAATGGAACTACAAAACAACCATTTTCACTTAACAAAAATTTGATCCCTCGATATATAAGAAATATAATGAGTACAATGGTACAATTGCTCCTAAGCAATGGTTAAAGACAACAGAAAAAAGGGGAAAAGAAAATGCACAAAAAAGGAAAAAACAGTTATTCAAATCTAATGAGCAAATAAAACAGTTACATAATATATGTTCTGACCAAATAAAAGGCGCCCGAGTTCGTATTATTCAAGAAAGCCCTATCTACATTCACCAACATGTGCATATAGTAGAATTTATGGGAAATGTGAAAATCATTGTTGATATATCAACAACCATCCTTAACAAACCAACCTGAATGAAATGTAGTCAGAGCGATTGGCGAAAGTGATTATGCGTTTTGTATCTGGCTTTGGCACTGGAAAGAGATGCTTTAAAATATTTGCTGCCCTCTCACCCAACTACGAACAATCAAGAAAAGAAAATCATATTCAATAGAACAGTCAACAGGTTAGTAACTACAAAGGCCAACTCAAAAAGATGCAGTGATGCAAGTGTGCATAAGATTAAGATGTAGCAGGAGTGGATGGATCAGCATTAGTAGGAATAGTAATCAGAGAGAGAGGGACAGAGATGAAAGATGGCCTCATCTAATTATATCACCATCAAGGTAGCTTATCAATAGCTCAATATGTAGTCATAGACAGAACAGCAACATTGAAATTCCTCACATGATTTTCATAGTAGGAGGTATGTCATAAACTCTTTGGAGATAACTATAATCAATCATCCTCATCTCTGAACCTTATAAACTATCTCTAATTGGATCAATGGGGTCTGATCTATCTTGGCATAATGTACGGAGTAAAGTAAGTCAAGCTGCTGGAATCTTTAATTGAGCTATGATACCTTGGTCGTGAAATTGTCAAGTATCACGTGTGGATAAACCTGAGGCATCGTTCCCATGGCCTTCTTGTCTTTGATGTCATGTCTTGTGACCTATAACAACAGTACTATTAGCACAGTGCTCAAAATAAATAAGTCAGAAAAGCAATAATGTAAAAACATGTATTGGTTAATACAAATGTTCATCATGATTGGCAATCTACAATTGTTGTCAGTATCAAACCTTCATTTTATGGTTCTTTGCACTAAGAAGCTGCTGCTTTGTTTTTACCAATTTTTTAAGGGCTTTGTTTTTACCAATTTTTTAAGGAATTAGAGTTCCTCAAGTTTCCTGGAGGACTGTAAAAGTGGTACATGGATCTTTCGAGGGTGATCTCAAGCCATTGACTTGCCGATTATGATTGATTTTGAATCTCAGGATCCAAGTTTATTATGATTGATTTTGAATCGCTGGATCCAAGTTTACCAATATATATCCATTTAACTCTTTTCATTCAATAAAAAAAACTATTCTAGTAAATGATTTAGAAGCTATGAGGCTTTCTTGCTGGGTTTAGGCAAAACAGTTTCATCTTCAAAATTGATCTTCTTCAACTTTCTCTTCATTTTTTTTCACCTTACACTCTAGCATTAACCAGACTTGTACAATCAACCATTGAAAATCGCAAATTTGAAAACCCAAGGCCATATCTCCAAAAAGAACTGTTACTAGAAACCAAAACATTATCTGATTCCTGAAAGCAGTGAAATGAAATCCTTTCTAGCCCTATTCAAACCTCTAGATCATGATCCTTCTCTTTCAGTTTTCAAAATTCTATCTTGGCCTCACTTTCCTAATTTTTGCTGCTGAAGGTCCTAAGAAATTCTATGTTGTCCGGATTCCTTTTCTGCTGTCCTACATCAGTCTTAATACCAAGATATTTGTCCAACAATAACACAAAAATTATCACACTACGTACCACATTGAGTAGTTGAAAATAAGCTGTTGGACCAAAAGGAAGGTGGCTTATAATCAAACCATCTGGTACACCACGATGTTCATGAACCAGCACAACATCTGTAAATTCGTGTGAACGGCATGTTTCAATAATTTCAGAAATAACCTGCAGGATTTGGAGAAATAAAATATCAATGTATGCTCAAGTATGGAAAGGGCCAAAGCATCAGAACCATCAACGATAGGTACATCCTTAAATGTCATTGTGTTCTCAGGTAAAGGGGTCAATCCAGCATTACTTAAATGTCATCATCTTCCCACAGCGCAACAGTTGGGTAATGCATGTTGAATTGTTGATTCATAAGAAGTGATCAAACAGCATTGTGCAGAAAAATATGTGCAAATCAATTTAGAGTACTGCTCTGTCTATTGTCTATTTTATAGTTGGAAGGCAAGGCTAATACAAATAACGTATAATTACATAATGATTCATTAATACAGTTTTGACGGAGTAAATGATGCTTTAATTATATATCTCCATAATCAATAACAATATAAAACTAGGCAGAAAAGTGGACCAACCTGACCACCACGATTCATTTGTTGCGCATTGGGAAAAACGAGTTTCAGTTCCTGTAACAAAAGTGTCATTGAACGACAATCAATAATCAACACTGGCCTTGCATGATATTAGTACCACAAAGTGAACACAATAGTGCAGCAAAACTGATTAAAACCATGTGAAGCACAAGGAAAGAGGCTAGGCCAACCTTAGTAAATTGTATAAGAGGAGCACTCGGATCCCGGGAAGTAGTCAGCAAAATTTTCGGATCTCTCTGAGTTGCGTTTGCATACTCATCATCTATATGTGACCTCGGGACTGGGATTCAGAAATGAAAGCCATGAAGAATCGACATCATAATCGAATGAAAACTAAAGCATTACATGTTCAAACTACCCAAAATATTACAAATTGTCAATTACATAAGAACTTGAATACATTGCTACATTATTTACACACAAAAAAAGGAACTTTCATATATAAATGATCATAAATCGAAAAACTTTCATAAACCCCCGTACCGGCAGTGTTTTCATCCTCTAAATCGATCTCTTGACGAAGGGCAGCCTCCTCGTTCCGAAGCTCGGTGGGTATCGGTTTCCCCTCTGCAAAGAAAACAAGTGTCCCAAAATTGTTACAAATTCAATCGCTTCCAAAACAAAATTTCAAATTAGAAACAAGAACATATACACACATATGTATCGAGAGAGAGAGAGAGAGAGAGAGAGAGAGAACCTTCTAGAGCTTCTTTGATCTTGCGCTTCTTCTCATAGAGCAAGCGTTGTTTGCCTTCCAAGCTCTTTCTGTACAAGTACTCCTTCGTCAACCTAATTTTTCGGCGCAGCATAATTGCTCTCTCTGCAACACAACCTAGAGAGAGAGAGAGAGAGAGAGAGAGAGAGAGTAGGGGTTTAGGGATTTGGCAGGTCACTCCATCTTGCTTGCTCACCTCCAGAGGGCGCGGACATAGGGTTTTAGCACGGCAGTTCGAATCCTAGCCGTCCACTTTCCGTTACAATCTTAGCCGTCAATGTTTAATCCCACGGTTTCTATTAAAACTTGCCCATAAAATGACGAAATTGCACTAAATCCACATAGTGTACAATAACTCTCATTTTCGTCACTATAGTTTATTTGCTACATTTTTGCCCTTGAATTTTAGTTTTTTGTCACTTTAGAAATTTTGCCGTACTCAACACATTAGACTAATAAAAAAAAAAACACATTGGACCAATAAAACCAACATAATGAAACTACAAAGACGAAAATACAACAAAAATAAAATACATATATAAAATTGAAAACAAGGCAAAACACAATAACAAAACGCTTATAATAACATGTGTCCCGTTCATAAAAAAAATAAAAAATAAGTAACCCTTACCTTTGACTTTTAGAGAAGGAGAAAGACAAAACAGAATAACATATGTGATTATCTCACCATTTTGTTTTTGGATTAAACAAGCTTATAATAACAGCTGCAAAATTCCTTAATAATTCTTACTTCCCCTCCTCATTTCTTTGTTTACTTTACTTTCATGTCTAAAATCCTATTGGGTAGTGCTTTAGGAGGAAGATGCAACAGAAGCCAATTTGTCTAGCAACAAAAGCCAAAGAAAAAAGAGTACTTTAGGAGGAAGATGCAACTCCCTAAAACTTCATCGTTACTTATTCATATTAGCGCTTATGATAAACACGCATACTGACTTCATGATAAAGCTACTATCACTAGTTGGTCTCCATATACACTTGTCTAGTTATACAAACAATTCAAGTAATTTTGTGCTCAAATTCAAGCTACGTTAGAACTTGACCCTTTTTTTATACAACGATATATTTACAAGTGAACAGAGTAAGTTGTAGTACTTAGTGAAAGAGCTTGAGAGATTTAAATAAAGCAAAATGTGAACATCCAAATAATTGTAGCTTCACTCAACTCGCGTACACTTCAGTAAAAGAAAAAACTCACGTACATTTGTTTCTTCACAATTTAAATTAATCTAATATGTGGAAAGTAAATTAAAATAAAACACATTATCTAAATCAACTGATCTAACTTGTTTCCACTTTGCCATTACACTAAAATAACAAGTGGCTGAGAATTTGACTGGGGCCAAATCTGGCCCAATACCGAAATCAGAAGAACAGCTAAGCCCAACCAACTCGTGCAAAACTAAAAGAAGAAAATGATGCCTTCAGCAACGAGTAGGGTTTAAGCGAACTGCTGCCTCCCTGCTTCCTCGATCGACCTGCGATTCATTCAACCTCCATATCCTCCTTCGCATTCACGCTCTCTCTCTCTCTCTCTCGCCGAACAATAAATGGCTTCCTTCTGCAGATCAGCTCTAATGGCGGGCTCAAGGTCCATAGCTCGCTCAAGAGCCCTCAGCCAAACCTCCCTGAACTCCCTAAACCCCGCAGCCATGGCATCCCCGTTTGCTTCCGCCACCAGAACAATTCCTTGCGCTACAAGGTAAGGTCTTCTCAAATCCCTCCAAGTCAGCCAATTTTGACAATTTCTGTGGCTTTAGAAACCCAGTGTTAACAAATATCTGTTATTGTTATTGTGATTAGATTCGTTTCGGTGTTGGGATGCATGGAGTCAATGATGCCGCTTCACAGTGCCATTGCTTCTGCTCGGCTTACATCCAACATTGCCGTCGATTCCACCTGCTGGAGTTCCCTTTCTCTTGGTAACCCACTTACCCAATTTTTAAATTTTTTAACTGATTTTTTTCTTGTTGAATTGTTTTCTTTATCTGTGTTTTTGGAATGGGTGTTTAATTTTGTTAATTTCACGTATAGCTATATCGCTAACGAGATGTAGGGAGTGTTTTCTAGTCCTTTTTCGTGTGAAATAATTGGGATTCGTTGGATTTTTTTAATGGTTTAGTAGACAAAATGAAGAGTTAAATCTCAACAAAGTTGCCCTTTTATCCATTATCCGTCATTCTCTCATTCATTTCCAGAATCAAAACTCGGGTCAGTGTCAAATTTGGATAATAATTCAAGTTTCTAGTGCACAGATGTGATTACTGCATTCTGTTAATTAACAAATAGCTCTTAAGCTAGTCGTTTCTTGTCTAGTGGCGCACTGATTACCTCTTTCTGCATTGGGTGTCTATTTCTGACTCATTTTTTCTACATCGTGGTATAGGTCTTGCATCACCGTTGTGACAAGGCCCGCTGGCTATGTGAGGTAATCGGTGCTTAGGGTTTCCCTTCTGAGTCATGTCTTGAAATTTTGGACACTGTATTGCGTAGCTTATGCCAGCTCGGTTAATTCAGCTATTTAGTTGCTGTTGCTAAACTTCTGTTAGATTGTTCAGTGGTACCTTTGAGCACCATTCTTATTCTGCTCTTGTTTTCAGTTTACATGAGTAATTCATGGAATTGCAGTTTCTTATTGTGGTATAAATGATCCACATGGATGCATTGAGTTTTCTTTGCAACTTTCTGTGGTGTGTATTTTGTAATGTGAAGGTGAAACAACTAGATTACTATTCAAGGCTTGAGTTATTTAATAATTGATATTTTGAGCAATTATATTACTATCTATGGTTATCAAAACGAAAATTATACATAAATAAATGTGCAAGGCTGGTTGTAAATCGATGGGGATGGAGAAATTTAAGCCTATTTTAGGCGACAGCGTTATTCAGCCATACCTGTTTGTGTTCATTTCATCACCAATATCAACTTACCTTTGTAGCAGAAGAGTGAAAAGATGGGATATTCTGTTGCGATTTTGCATATACTTAAAGTATTCCTGTTTGAGCCCTTGGTTTAGACAGAGAAAAATAATAAAAGAAGCTAGAGATCTTCAAGTTAACATCTTCTTATTGCACTCAAAACATCCTGTCATCCATATGGTGATGCAACTCTGGTTCCATGAAAGAACCACTGACTTTGATATTCACCTCACTAGAAATACGATGCAGTTAGTTGTCATTTTCCCTTTGAATTTGTTGTATTAAATTTAGGCTCATCTTAGACACATTCTTCTTCAACATATTATATCCTACTCACCAGTACAATTTGTTTTTCTCTTCGTCGGTAGAATTTCTTCATCTACTGATCTTCCTATTTGCTTCATTGGTTTTTCTAGAGGCTGCAGTTCCTCGGTGACAAGGACTCCATGCTCCGATCATTTCAGGCTTTCAAATTGGCTTGCATATTGGTTCCTCCATCCTTTGTTCTTTTCCTTTTTTCAATGCTTTATGGAAATTGCTTTGTGTAAGTTACATTAGGCATTCCTGAAAAATAGTTTTACTGTCTTGAATGTTTACATGCTAGTGTGCACATTGACATTTACTCCGGTACCTTTCTAAGGACCACCGAGGACATTTGCTGTGTTTTTTGTTCAACCACAGCTTGTGTTAGTAAGTGATTTCGGGCATTTTGACTAACGTTAAACTTGGTATTTGCCTATCCTTCAATGTAGGACTTAGGGATAGTCAAAATCAAGAGTTTAGAAACGAATAGCTCTTCATGGGTTTCAAAGTGACCAATGACTAATAGAGAGAATTGAGATAGTCCCTTAGGGATCACCCTGATGTTTAGGAATTCGGTTTTCTTTTAGGTGATCCTAAATAGTAAGTTCTAGTCACATTAGTGGCTCTTGTACTCTATGACTGTTGCCAGTTATTTACTACGTGCGAAATGTCCACACCAATGATTGCTGGACAAGAATATCTTATTGCACTGTCTGTTTTGAATGATGCAAATTGCTTAATTACCTTATTATTTCTGCTATTACTGCATATTCTGATCACATGTGAAGTTGATGTTCTAATACTCTCCAATAAAACCTAATGACGGGGTTAAAGCACCCTCCACCTAAACTACTCAAACTTCTAATTCATTAACTGTGTGATCTCTTTTACATGTGCTTCTTTAGTAAATAGCAATAGCATGATTTCTGTTGAATGAGTTCAAGCTCGGCTAATTATAAATTATTCTTGGATAGGGCTCCTCGACCGAAGCTGAGCATGAACCCAACTTAACCAAGCAACCTTGCCCTGATTCGGCCAAGTTGTACTGTACTGCTCCCCTTCCTTGTGTGCCCATGGCATATAAATTGCTATTTGTTAAACGGTTTTCGTTATCAATTTTGTTTTTGCTTGAACTAGACATTTTGATTGTGATGGTTCGCGATGTAATGCCTGGCCTGAAGAATTAATGGAACAATAGGAATGTTGCATTCTCTTTGTATGGTTTGGTTACTACTTACAAGTATAGGGTCTGTACCAGTTAGGTTCATGTGATGCACGAGCTTATTTGGGTTGAGGGCCTTCTTTCGGTCAATTCAAGCTCTGCCTTGTAAAAGCCGAAAGAATCACCTTCTATATATATTTGATTACCGAATCTATAGCGCATGGATAAAATGTGACGATGTTATTGCTACTAACAAAACGTAGTGGCGTGTTATCGAAGGACGGGCTTTTAACAATTCTGGTGATCGTCCTCTTGTTGTGTATGGCACTGACAATCTTGTTTACAACATCTACTAATTCGAAACGTAATTTTAAAGCCATATTTGACTGGTATGCGCTTTGCCTTGTGTGGATCCTATTTCAATGGGAACTTGATGAGTAATACCGTTCAGAAATTCCATCCAAAATAAAGAGTTCCAAACGGAGTAGACCATTGTTCTACATTATAACAAGTTTAGAGATCATTACTTACTTACAATTTTTTAGTTTAGGGACCGAAGCTCCAATTGAAAATTCCAATGTGGATTGAATAATTCCATTTTGAGTCTGAAAGTTTTCCAAAAATTTTATATGGAATTTATAATGTACATATCTGATGTAAAATTCTGAAATTTCTTAAACTTATTACTATAAAACATTGAATTGTTATTGGCATTTTAAAATTTTCATTTTGAACTCCAAATTTTCTATAATTGAAAGAAAAATACACTTGTTAGGAGTGTAAAATAAGATTTTTGAAGTACTAATAACAATTTCTGAAAAACAATTCATGCATATTCTTATTTTATCATGTTTATTGTTAGTTTTATTGGATATGCTTCATTTCTTATTTTGTATATTCAATCATATTAAAAGTGATTATATTCATATGTACTACTTTATCTTGTCTTATATTAAAAGTGATTATATTGGCTTGGTTTGGCACGAGTTGAGCGTGAGAAAGCCCAGCGAGAAAGGTGCTGGCTTTGTGTGTTTGGAAGGGCATGAGGCCCAGCAAGTCAAACCTAGGCCTAGAGCCTAGTTCACACACGTAGCAAAGTTGCTATAAGATCCCACATCTCCTAGGGGAGTGAATCATGTAAGCCTTATATGTATATTCTCATCTCTACCTAGTACGAGGCCTTTTGGGAACTCATTGGCTTCGGATTTCATCGGAACTCCGAAGTTAAGTGAGTCCGTGCGAGAGCAATCCCATGATGGGTGACCCATTGGGAAGTTCTCGTGTGAGTTCCCAGAAAAAAAAACCGTGAGGGCGAGGTCAGGGCCCAAAGCGGACAATATCATGCTATGGTAGAGTTGAGCCCGGGATGTGGCGGAGGCCCGGGCCAGATGTGACAAATTGGTATCAGAGCCAACCCTGGCCAGATGTGTGCCGACGATGACATTGAGCCCCTAAGGGGGTGGATTGTAAGATCCCACATCGGCCAAAGGAGTGGATCCTGTAAGCCTTATATGTATATTCCATCTCTACCTAGTACAAGGCCTTTGGGGAACTCACTGGCTTTGGATTCCATCGGAATTCCGAAGTTAAGCGAGTTCACACGAGAGCAATCCTATGATGGGTGACCCATTGGGAAATTATTGTGTGAATTCCCAGAAACAAAACAGTGAGAGCGTGGTCGGGGCCCAAAGCGGACAATATCGTGTTATGGTGGAGTTGAGCCTTGGATGTGGTGGGGGCCTGGGCCAAGATGGCCAAGATGTGACAGTTGTTGTTGTCTCACGGTGCAGCTAGTTCCCTTTCTTTTTTTTTATTTTTGAAATTTATAAGGTTGTAGAAACCCTAATATGCTTCTAATTTATGAATATATTTTGACTCACAAATTTCACATAGCAATTTAATTGCGTAATGCATGAAACAAATATATATATATTGACAAATATAGAAAACATATACAATATATATATGTATATATATATATATATATCGGAAGGAAAATATAAACATAGGGGGTTCATGCATCATGGGGAATGTTTTCATGCTTCAAGGTCGTTTCAAATATCCTACTTTATTTTAAGCGTACCTGATTGGTAGAAAACAACAGGAGCCTTTGAATGTGTAGAAGATCCTTCTCGGAAAGCTGGAATTGCATCTCCAATGTGTTGTATCACGTTTAACATAGAAAAATTAAATTGAATCAATATCATGTATATCAATTCAAAATAATAAATTAATCATAAAAAATAATGATTAAAACGTAATACTCCCCTGATTTGATAGTAATTGAAGCTATTGTCAAATTTGATAGTAATTCTCTTCTGCCAATTCATGTATCACCACATAAGATTTGACATTTCGGTTGAAGAATATTAGTGTTATCTTTTTTTATTATTAAAGCTTATGTGAACATTTTAACCTCTTATCTAGCTAGAGATAAAGCCAAAAAAGTTATTCGCGCAGCCAAACAGGGGCTCATCAAAACTGTAGGAGCTATTTATGAAACTGGACTAAGAACAAGACTACTATTTATGAAAGTGGACCAAGAACTAGGCACTATTTATGAAACTGAATCAAGAACTAGGCCACTATTTATGGAAGTGGAACAAGATCTATGCACTATTTATGAAATTGGACTAATAAGGAGACAATATTTATGAAACTTGACCAATAAGTAGACATTGTTTATGAAACCCAATCAAGAATGAGACACTATTTCTAAAACTAAACCAATAGGTGGAAACTATTTGTGAAACTAGACTAAGATAGAAACACTGTTTATGAAATTGAACCAATAACTAAGCATTATTCATGAAACTGGACCCAGAACTAGCCACTGTTTATGAAACTAGACCAATAAGTAAACACTATTTATGAAACTGGACTAATAAATAAACATTATTTATTCAGAATAATGTGGGTTATGTTGCTGTAATTCCAAAAAATAATGTTTATTTTGTTCCTTTCCAGAGATAGTGTAGATTATTTTGATTTAGTTTTCATAAATAGTGTGGGCTATTTTGCTGTAGTTCTAGAAATAGTATGAGTTATTTTGGCTCTGTTTCAAAAATAATGTAGGTTATGTTGCTATAGCTTCAAAAATAATGTGTGTTATTTTGGTTTAGTTTAAGAAATAGTATGGTTTATTTTTGTTCAGTTTCAGAAATAGTGTAAGTTATTTTCCTATAGTTTCAGAAATAGTGTGAGTTATTTTGGTTTAGTTTCAGAAATAGTGTAGGTTATTTTGCTGTAATTTCAGAAATAGTGTGAGTTATTTTGATTTAGTTCCAGAAATAGTGTAGATTATTTTGCTGTGGTTTCAGAAATAGTGTGAGTTATTTTGCTATAGTTTCAGAAATAGCGTTGATTATTTTGCTGCAATTCCATAAATAGTGTTGATTATTTTGGTTCAGTTTGAGAAACAATGTGAGTTATTTTGTTGTACTTCTAGAAACAATGTGGGCTATTTTGGTTCAGTTTCTGAAATAGTGTGAGTTATCTTCATTCATCTTGAGAAATATTGTAGTTATTTCTTCACCTTCTCAACCATTTTTTCTCTCTTTTTTCACATCTCTAGTTGTAGACCACATCACTGCCGCACCGCATCACCATTAAAATCATCGTGACAAACCAAAATCAAACCAGCACCCAAAACTTGGATCCCACCATCTTCTCATGCTTCATCTTTGTTGTCTTCTTGTTGGCTTGGATTTGCCATCATCTCCCAAACCGAAGGCGCTTCGGTGGGATCTCACAGATGGAAAATTTTTGGTATTCAACACCACCTACACCAAACGAGCGCCACCACCTAAAAACATTATATAAGCTTATGTATCGATAAGAAAAATCCATGGGTGTAGAACTCTGCCATTTTTATTAATGATATCAAATTTTGCGAACAAACGCATGAGCAACTGACGATACATAGATTGCAAAGAGAAACTTCCTCATGGCGCTTTGAATGTCGTCTAGGGATTCCATCCAGTTTCAGTTCAAGGACAGACATTTCCAGTCTCTTTGTTTCTTCGCCAGATCACATTTCTCTACTGACAATAGTTTTAAGTTTATGCTTTGCTAATGACAAAATAATGTAGTTCTAGACGTAGACAAGTTAACTAGACAGTGTAAACATTCATATTCAAACTTTTTTTTATGTAACAATATTATATTAAAATATCGCTCGAATGAGAAATATTGTTACAAGCAAATCCCACATTTGCGAAGTTTGAGAGAAAAAGATGATTCCACATTTCCACTTGTGCAGCAGAGTCAATGATTATGATATATGTAATCACCATCATTATTAAGCATTGGTGATTTGGATAATAAAGGCAAATATAATGGGCAATGTGGTATTGAAACATTTTGAGACACATTTGGCAGCATCTTTCATTTCACTTTAGTGTAGAAAGACTGACTAGTCACCAAGGGCCCTCAGAGACTCCCAGTCACTGAAGAACTCTCATTCTTTGCATGTTCTGTTACAGAAGATAAAAGAAATTTAAAAAATATGGGGATGAATCGTTTTCTTCGATCCAATCTCAGAACCCAGGTATCAAATCTTAAATCCCAAACACTCATTTGGTTTTTTTTTTTGGATTACATCTTCCTGTATGTGTTTTCTGATTGACAAAGATAGAAGAACAACATAATATTACAAGCAACTGCATCATATTGAATCAAAACTCTATTTTAACTTCTTCTGACTTCTTAATGTCATCCCAAAAACCAAAATTGCACTCTTCATCTGAGGATCTGTAAGAGATTTGAACGAACATCCCGTATCTTAGCTAGGGGGCCAAAAGAATTAACAAGAATTGAAGAATTGAAAATGATTTCTGGTCTCTTTGTTTCTTCGCCGGACCTTCTTGCCCATTTCTCTGAGATTGTCGTTGACTATTAGCAGTTGGTTCCCTCTTGTCAGCTTTGCATCCTCTGTCGCCATCTCCTCTTCTTCTATGCTTGATTCTTTGAACAGGAACAAGAAGGAAAAAAAACCTAATTTGATCAAGTTCCTAAAGGCCAAAAATCCCTAGCTGGATAACAGAAAGCAATCAATTCAAAACCCTAAATTAAAAAATCTGCAAAAGTGAAGTGATTGGCCTTTATAACTCAGTTCTTCGACATGACTAAACTAACGGAAAACAAAACAAACATAACCCAAAAACGTCAGGGTCAAAACAGAGAAATCAATATGTTATTTTGGGTGGGCTATTTTAATTGGACTTGTTTAATATTCAACTTTGTACTAATTATTAAATAAAGTTATATGATGATTTTTCATTAAAACTCAAAGTTCCTTTTTTCATTAGTTTTTCTTATGAATTATCAAATATGACTTGTGGATTAATATTTGATAAATATCAGAGTGAGATCTAATCGAATGTTTACATGATGTCAAAATCTGATTCTTTGATAAGCCCACGTCAAAGAGAAATTTTTAGTTGTGACAAGAAAATAGATGATACACCATGTGTTTTTATGCAAGTGGTGAAAAATTTAATTTTTAAGTTGTTAATCTTTTAAAACGCATAACTCACCATTTATATAGGAACACATGGTGTATCACATCGTTTGACGGTCACACTGAAAAATCTCCTCAAAATGAGTCAAAGGGCAGGTTTATATAGGAACACATGGTGTATCACATCGTATCTCTATGCTTCTGGTACATGTGTGTCAGTCTTACTCTTCTAATAAGAGTTCGATGAGTGGATCCCAAAAAACAAGGAGTCGAATGGAGTCCTGAGTTCCTACCTCTCTTCTAATAAAGACGTAGTGGAGTTGTTCTTGGTGCCCTAAACCAAGATAAGCAGCCGCCTCTCCGCCTCGTTCTTGGTCTCCCGCAGTTGCAGTCGCAGTCTGACGTCATGATGAAAGCTATGGGTAAAATTCTCTCCCCCTTCAGGGTAGAAGCACACAAGAATAATATCGATAACAATATTTCTCAGCTCCCAATAATTCGTCCTTATAATACTAGTTTGAGATCAATGGCACTGGTATTTGCTCCTCCTAACAGTAAATATCCACCACAGAGGCCACTGAAATTATGCTCAAATTTCTCTTCAAATGAGATTAATATTGAGGAGGAGGAGGATGTAACGGAATTGGAATCCGAATCGGGGTTGGAGTTGGAGAGTGTTAACACTAACCCCTGCATTGATCTGTTGCGTTTTCTGTTGGCTGTAGAGGTGAATTCCTCCTACAGGCAGAAAGCCTCCGCCTCCTCTCACAGATATCTAAACCATCAACTTCTGCCGCTGGCCTGGTTCCACAGTCCCCTCACCACCCTCAAGCTCATTCGTTATCTCGGACAAACCACCGACTATGAATTGTTCCACAGTGCCTTGCTATGGCTCCACCACAACCACCCCAAAACCTTAGCCTCCAACATCGAGCCCCTTGCCGGCAACTCCGGTCGCGATTTGTCGAGATTATCTACCGCCTTGTTCTTCTACAACTAATCAGCAGCCAACACTCAAATTCTGATGACGTCCATTGTCGAATCAGAGACAAGACCATTGCCATTGCCAATAAGGCTGCCGAGATGTACCATCGCGACCCTGATTTTCAGTTTTTACACGACCGGGTTTCTGGTTTTTTCGCAAACTACCTAAAGTCTGATATTGAAAAGTTGAAGAGCAAGAACAAGAGGATGAATGAGAACGAGGATGGTGATGATAATTATATCGAGTTTAGCTGGGCTGCGGCATGTCTCCCATACGCTGGCTACCGGGCTGCCACGCAGCTGTGTGAAAGCATTGCGAGGAAGCTTTTTCCGCGACAAGATGGATACCAAGGTCTTGAAGAGGTACGTCCGAAAAAAAAAAGTATTGAAGAGGAGGCCGATTACACGTCAAGAGCGCGAAGCCGGCTGACCAAGGAGGTTTTGCTGCCAGTGAGGAGGATGACATGTTATGACACTTTTGGCGGCAAGTGTAGGATTAAACAGTATCTGGAGGACGTGAAAGCCGGCCGCTGCGAGATTAAGATTGATGATGAACCTACTTCGCTGCTGCTGCTTCCGCATAGGGTGATACACTATGTGGACAATCCCGATGTAGGGGACGTTGCTCAACTTCACTGGAAGGCAATGGTGGAGGACTTGTTCAACAAAGGCAAGTGGAAGAATTGCTTGGCTGTATGTAACGTCTCGAAGCCCACGAGTCTGCGAGGTCAGGATGTGTCGGTGGCTTTTGGGTTACTGGTGTCTCAGCTGAGTGAACAGCCCTGGAAAGGAAAGGTCGTCCCTTTCGCTCGATATCCTGATCTGCGTCTGATACAAGGTGGAAATGATCTCAAGTCCCAGTGTGCCTTTCTGAGGGGCATGGACCACACCGAAACTTGTCCTTTCCACACGGTGCTTGATTTGATCCTCCAAGAGGCTGTGAATGCCAATTTGAAGCCGGAGCAAATGATCAAGAAGGTGCTAGTTTTCACTCATTATGGCTTTGAGATATCTAATGCCGACGGTCACTGGCCAACTACTTACCGGGCAATACAAAGAAAGTTTGAGGAGAAAGGTTATGGGGATGCGGTGCCACACATAGTGTTCTGGCAGTTGTGGAACAAGGGCGCTGCCGGCAACTGTGTCGAGCCTCCTTCAAGAATACCAGGGGTGACCATCCTCACCGGCTACTCGGACAATTTCATCAAGTTGTTCCTGGATACTGAGGGGGAAGTTGGCCCCAAGCATGCCCTGGAATCCGCCATCTGTGACAAAGAGTACTTAAATCTTGCTGTGGTGGACTGACTCAGTTGTCATGATCGATCGTTACGTTTATTTTAGTTTAAGTTATGGTCCTCGTGGACACTTGCGCTTAATTTGTTTCGGCTTACTTATTAATGCCTACGTTCGACTGGATGTTGTTCATTTCACAAGCCTTATAGAACTTGGGAAGCACAACATTCTAAAGCATGGCAAGTCTTCAGGACAGCGTATACTTTCAAATTTGGTATTAACTGTAGGCTTTCTCAAGTCATTTTGCTAGGGGAATAGATCCATCCACCCTCTTCTATCATGGCTCCAAGGCCAATTCTCTCTTAATATTTTGTTTTGCGCAATTTATCCTGTTCAGAATAAGTTCCGCAGTTATGCCTTTGATGAGATTTTAAACCACATTGGTTTTGGGATATGTCATTTGACCATCAAGGATTGAGTTTCTGGACGAGCTGATGATTTTGTAGTTTAAATCATCTTTTTCGAAGTCATTTAATGTCGTCTGTGATCAATGAATAGCAAGTCCCTTGCACGAGTGAGACGTCAACAAATTCGTTGGTTTGATTACTGGCTCGTAATGAATTGAAGGTAGTTATGGCCCCGAACTCGGCCATATATATAGCAGGTTATAGTTCAATATACAAAGGCTTTGAGGGGCCAGTAGCTAAATCTTCAAAAGCATTCAAAGCCTCAACCAGATGGATCCACTCCACTCTCGTCTAATGCATTTACAGGACTTTTGCTGTATCAGAATCATCAGAGCCATACTTGCCTTTGAAGTAAGCGATAAAACTGAAGAATGCCATAGCGCGCATGATCAGCACTGAATTCTGCAGCTTTTTTTACACTTTGAATTTGAGCAATTTGACCAACGAAGTGAAAAAAAGTATACCGCGAATTCTGTGCGGATGATGATACATGTGAGTAGGGAGTGGGAGAAAACTAAGTTGATGAAGACAAATAAGCGTGTTATAATTGGGCAAACACTTACAATCCCGTGCCTACCAGAAATTCACTCTTTTACAGCAGCAAGTTTCACATAACGCTGTGGAAACATATCCTCATTGTTAGTAAATCAACAAACCAAATCATCATTAGCAGACTCCTTTGTTTGGTGTCACTCCAAGAGTCTGATGAATCATTAGCATAGAATCATTTCAGTGATGCGCAGCGTAGGAAGAGTGCATAAGATGCAAATTTTCATTAAAGGCATACGGCCTGCTTACTCTGGTGTGGTCTCACGGTTTCATAAAAATAAGTTACCAACTTGCTGCTGCTGTACTCATGTGTGAGCTAGGCATACTCAGTGGCATTTTAAGAAAACACTCGTTATATATGTGAGGCATATTTAGAAAACTTACGTGGAATCGCCCATTATCCTTGCCCATAACCTGATACAAACCACACGCAGAAAACCTATAAATTGCACACTTTTTCCCTCCATTTCCCTCCAATTCGCTTATAAAAGCAGCCACCCGGTGCAATTCATTCCAAAAATTCAGTCTATCTCTCAAGAAACCACCGCAGCGCATCTCTCTCTGCTCTCTGCTCTCAAGAAACTACCGCAGCGCATCTCTCTCTGCTCTCTGCTCTCAAAACCACCGCAGCGCAGAGGTATCCTCTTCTCTCTCCTCTCTCCTCTCTCTTTTTTCTCTCTTCTCTCCCCTCTCTCTACACTCTCTAACCCTAACCCTAACACTAACACTCTCTCCTTCTTCAGATGGCGGCGTTCAGTGCCTTCATGTCCGGTGGCGCCTGCAAATTTCAATCGCTGACGGATCTCCGCGCCGTTCAAGGATCCCAGCAGGTTCTTGCTAAATCGCAAGAAAATCTCAACCGAAACATTTCTAATCTCAAGCTATGGACTGATGCATACGTGCATACGCCTGAGGATGTCAAACTGGCGATCGAACTCCGCGACGACAACCAATGGACCGCTTCTTTCACTACTGCCAAAAGCAATCCAAACGCCGGAATGATGAAACAGATTTCAGACAAGGCCCGTCCCCCTCTCCGTCTGCAATTCAAACGAATCACCGAGATCGTAGAGGTCAAGAAGAAGCCAACCGCCATTGGACAGCACCAGGAGGAGGGCGAACAGGGAGGATACGACAAGGCCGAGGCTCTAAACGACGCACCAAAAGGCAAAAAGGGCAAAAAGGGCAAAGGGCAAAGGGGAAAGGGCAGCAAGGTCAAAGGAAAATAGACACGAGAGGAGCGAAACCACTCAGCAATAAGGGCAAAAAGGGAAAAGTAGTTGGGGAAGGCATTGGGGAATTTGCCGAATTAGGATCAAACTGTAATTGGGGATCAAACTGTAATTTTCATTCTTTTCGAGGGGTTAGTTTTGTAGTGTTGTCAGTCTTAAGGGTGCAACGAGCTAGATTTCACTAACAATGGTGACATTTGAGAAATGAAAAAGTATAATGTTGTTTACTAAAATACGGATGAAAAAAATATTTCACTTTCTAATTTCTCCATGTGTTTACCAAAATAACGCGAAGAAAACGAAAAAATGTAAAATTTCCTCTAAAATCCATAATCAAATACCAAAAAAATAAAGAAAAATGTAAATTTCCTCTTAATATTATCAATTAGACAACTTTAATAAAAAAAATTTCGTCAGTAACTTTAATAATTACTCAACTAAAAATAATTAGTTAATATACTAAGGGTCATTTGGGATTGCTGATAGAGAATTAGAAGTGCTTTTTGTAACTAAAAGTACTTATGACCATATACAACAACATTTTTTAGCAAGTACTTGGATTTGAATGAAAATTTTAACATGTTTATACTACAAACACTTTTAACAAAAACGCTTGTGAGTAGACACCCAATCAACCAATCTTAAGTTACATGGTTATACTTTGAAGCTGTGGAAGCTTGCATTGCATTGACATGGAAACATCTCTATATATAAAGCTAGCTAGCTAGCATAATAGTTCACTTCAACAGTAGTCATCAGGGCCAGCCTTGAGGGGGTGCGAGGAGTGAGACCGCACAGGGCCCCCGTTTTTTTGGGGCCCCTAAATTTAATAACCTTTGTAATATACTAGATATATACTATAAACGTGAGCATATCAAACGACGTTGTCATAGCCGATTTGGCAAGCATTGTTTTTGCTATCTAGGTGTGCACACGTTCGATTCCGTGGTTACCTATATTTTTAATTATGAATTTTTTTTCAGCCGTGTTTATTTCATATTGGGCATTTTTTTGGGGTTTTTTTCTTCCTCCAAAGCTAGATAAGTATTATTAAATACTAATGGATACATTTATTTTTAATTATGAATTTTTTTTTCAGCTGTGTTTATTTCATATTGGGCATGTTTTGAGGGTTTTTTTTTTCTTCAAAGGTAGATAGATATTGTTAGATACAAATGGATACAATTACATCCTCCGAGTATTAAACAAGATTTGAGGACCAATACAAGCCCAAATATACTTCCCTTCATTTTTGAATGCAACAGATGCCACAGAGTGTGCCGCACGATTACCTTCTCTAGGCTTTTTTAGCTACACTGTTGTTTTCTTGTTTTAAATATATGTAGTTATTTTCTTTCATTATAAAAGATAACTTTTGCTAATAAATCTATAATTAGGAATGTCATAATAAATTAAAATTTTAAAAGTTTGAAGATATAATCTTTAAAAGCCTCATTTTTTTTCTTATACGATATCATTTAACCATTTATTTTCTAGTCACTATTTGATGGTCATCTAATTTTCATTTTATTTGAAAACCATTTTGTCATCCATATATCAATGATTTGTTTACACATAAATAAATTTTTCTTGAGATGAACTCTGGATGATAATAAAGAGCAAGAATAGTTCTAATTATAATATTTGAATGGTGATATGATAAGTACATATCCACCGTGCCATGCTTTTTCTATTAAAAAGCAAGGAGTTTTGAACCCAAAAACATAAGGGATGCAGATAGATACACAAACCCAACACACCATGTTTCATTTTTATTTATTTTCTTGTGCGTTATATCAATTTTTACACATAAAAAATAAAAAGTATAAAAGAAAATATAGCAACCAAAATTTTAGGCCATGTAAGGGCCCCGTTTGGATCTTGCACAAGGTCTCTAAAATCTCAAGACTGGCCTCGGTAGTCATCAGTACTTTTTATATATTTCAATGTCTTTCCAACGTGATTCCATGTAGTAGGTAATGTTAGCCGGTGCAGCATAAACTCCACATTTGAAGTACAAATCTCCTGGCCCTTGATCCTTCACCCGAAATTTCTGGACTCCGTCAATGAAAATAGTCACGCTCCCTCCGTCGACGTCATGGATTATGTTAAGTCTGAACCACTTATCGTAAAGATTTGTACCCACCAAATCTCGACTATAATACCTCATGTCGCCGTTATAGATTCTTAGGATTATAGTCGTAGCACCCTTAGCTGCTCCATGGATCTGTGCTACTGTAGCACCAGAGGTTCCATTTGGCACAAATCCATACCCTTCAAATTGCCATATTCCAGATGAGTAGTCAAATCCCTGCATAAAACTTAGTTAGCGCCAACTAATGATTGCTTTTTCGTCGGACAATATATGAATCTGGACTACCCGTTCTAGAAGCGTTCCACATAAAACATATACAACGCATGGCAAAAAAGCACAAACAAATCCATATAAGGATTTATAAGGAAGCATCCGTATAAGTATTTATAAGGAAGCATTTTTTTCTTGTTAGATTTATGTTGGCAAACTATATATATATATATATATATATATATATATATGGACCATATAAGTCAACTTGATCGATAGTTTATATTCACTGTCTAAATGTAAAATCAAACATTTGATAAAATTTAACATGATCAATGACTAAGATTCATATTTTGACAAGTAATTCTTGCTCACGGTATATATAGAGTAATGTTCTCTTTTGTCAAATCATTTGACAATGTAGGAGTATTTATAATATATATACAAGACAAAGGTATTCTATTAGACTGTCTGACAACATAAGAGACTTATTCATAAAACTGTGATCTGAACAACATATTCAGTAAAAAAATCAATCTAATCAAATCCATCATATACCAACATAAACATTTATCAGTAGGATTATGGGGCTAGTCATATATAGCAGGTTAGGAGGCGTACCCTCATGCGAACTTCAGTACGTGGCTGGGTTTGGCTATTAGGGTCATGGGGCTTGTCATCATCAGCATAGACCCACAAACGCCTTACACCATTGACAAAACTGTAGCGCTCCTCCAGTGGTACGTCATACGGTTTCTGTAATTCGGAATTATATTCCGTTAACGGAACATCGACGAAGCCATCAGTCGGATCAGCACCACATAACTGAATGATGTCTTTCAGTGAGCCCAGAAAAAAACAAGGAGAGAAGGTAACCTCTCATGTTTTCTTTCTCCACTACCTACCTCGTATGGTTGATGGTGGGAGCTTATATCTCTGCATCTTGGTGTGTGTGTATATATATATACACATTAGATCATTGTTCACATTACTTATTTTCATCCTTTATTTTAATATATTTTCATTTTGTAATTTGACATTTACAGCACCACCACCACTAAACCATATCTCAATAGTAGGGTCTGCGCTCTGGTTTGTGCTAAGTTTTTCGTTAATTCCAAATACTACATACATTTTCTTATATTTAACTCTACACGTGTAAATTTAGCTTATGTTGCCGGTCCCAAGCCCGGATAAAGGGGAAGGAGGAGTGCGTCAGGTAGTTTACAATCAACGCTTTGTTCTTCACATCGAATCCCTATGATATGAATCCTAAACGCAATTTGACATTTACTAATGAACATTTTGAGTATTGAAAACAAACATATCGCTCTATGAAAGATAATTATTGACACGATTCTTTCTATTTATATTACGATACATTCTGCCTTGTGATCCGAGTACACTATAACGTTTGTCACTAAACACAAAGAATAATAATGAAGCGGCTTTGAACTACCTTTAATATTTGAGTACTGTTAGGGAGATTAAAATTTTGAACTAAATTTGTAAACTAATTGACGTAATAATCCAAACATTAACAACTACATCATCAGTTTACAAAATTTAGTCTCCCTAACTTTACCCTTAATATTTTACCATTTAGCCTAACTAATTAAAGTCCTTATACTAATTCTAACGTGGGTTGCATGGAAGGCAAACAAAAGCTTTTTCAACAAAAGGTTATTATATATCGGCGGGGAGTGTACACCCGTGAGGATATTTGCAGGGGAGTTAGCACAATATTATTGTTAAATTCAAGCTAATTAATAATGTAAATACCCACAAGATGACAAGGCATGTGAAACTACCCAAGTATGGTTTCTTAGAACACTATGACAATGCTAGTTAAAAAAAATTAAAGGATCACTTTGGATACGGTTCCTAATTATCAATATTCTTTTACTGAAACCTTGTTGGTTTTCAATTTTTTATCGAAGTCCCTGAAATTAATGTGATAATGTATTTTCATGTAGGTTATTATATTTTTTAAATTAAAAATTGAAATTTATAGTTGTTTGTAATAATGAGATTTTAAATAAATAAAACCCATAATTTGTGGATTAAAATTATTAAAATATAAATTATACTCTCCAATATATTTTGTGTGTGTGTGTGTGTGTGTGTGTATGTATGTATATAAACGTGGGTACATTCATCAAAATTAACAAAAAAAATTATTGTACCAAAATATGGGTACATTCTTCAAAACCACACAAAAAATAATAGATATTTGGCTTCATAACATTAGTAAATTTCTTTGATTAAACTTGACATGGATTTATGGAAAAATAATGTACTCATATAAGTTTAAAAATGGTTAGGAAAAAATTGAATAGATTTTATATATGAAAAAAGGGTACATTTTACTACAACAAATTGATATATTTAAGAATGGGTACATATAAGATTAAAAAATTGGAGACCTTTTTATAAAAAATTAAGGAGTACAAACTTATTCTAATTTTTTTTTTATTTTGGAAATGTTTTGAATTGAAAATTAGTTAGGAGTTTACTAAAGGTGTGAGTATTAAAATCCTAAATCAATTATTAGTTTTTGTTTTAAAAATTATATAACTGATATGTAAATTTATTATTGCATTAATGCTAGGGACTTTGATCAAAATTTGAAAACTAATAAGGTTTCATCAAAGAACATTAGTAACTAAGAATCGGATACTAATTTTTTCAAAATTAAATTTAGTTGGAATAAATTAGCCCTTTAGCCTGCAGGGTAGTTAGCATAATATAGTGCATGATGACTGACAGAGTAAGAAAGAGACTAAAAATACTCGAAACATTGGAGGAGGCACCAAGGGTCCAGAAGGATGCGGATGAGGATGCTTTCCAGATTCTTTTTGTGAAGATTAATTTATTTTAGTCGTTTATTGTACATTATGCGGCTAACTTTT